TCCGAATGTTGCTCTGCGGTATTTTTGCCCATTCCCGGCAAAGCTCTTGCTTGAGGTGATCGACACTTTGGTATTTTTTTAGTGCCAATCTTGCTTTCCAAAATACTCCAGACACAATAGTCCAACGGTTTGATATCCGGAGATTTTGGTGGCCATTGTGCGCTGGAAATGAATCGAGGAACCTTATTTTGCAAAACATTTTTGGGTGGCGCGTGCTGAGTGCGATGGTGCTGGTGAGTCCTGTTGGAATGTCCAAGGTCTGCGGCCAAAATGTTTGCGTGCCCAAGGCTTTAATACACCCTCCAGAATATTTTCGCGATAATGTTCGGCATTTCTTCTGATGCCATGGTCAATTAATACGAGCGGAGAACGACCATCGGCTGATATGGCGGCCCACACCATCACCATGGCCGGCGCTTGAGTTCTGGTAGGTCCAGAATATTTTCGCGATAATATTCGGTATTTATTCTGATGCCACGGTCGATTAATACGGGCGGAGAGCGACCATCGACTGTTATGGCGGCCCACACCATCACCATGGCCGGCGCTTGAGTTCTGGTGTCTGGTGGCCACATGGCCGAAGGTGCACATTTTCAGCTGACCTCTTTGGCAAGATCACGATAAACACGATAAACACGATAATTTTGTTTGTTTACAAACTGCTGGACAACGAATGTTTTCTCTTAGGAGAATACTAAATTCGCCAGTTCACCACTTTCGGCCAAGCGAAGCAACTCTTTAGCTGTTTTGAGTCTATTTTCTTTCTGTTGCGGTGTAAGTTCTTGCACTTTTTCGAATTTCAATGGCTTTACCCCGAGCTCATTTTATCGTCTATATAGACTTCCTGGCCTGCAGACTCCTTCGCATCTGGCTCGTCTATATAAACCCTCTGGCCTCCCAGCTCGTCTATATGAACTCTTTGGCCTACATCTAGTCTGTAAGAACTCTTTGGCCTCCAGCTCGTCTATATGGACTCTCTGCCCTCCAACTAGTCCCGAGTTCATTTTTCTATAGCTCACAAAGCCATTTTTCGGCTACTGCGACGCGGGCGGTGATCAAATCGTTTATTTTTCGAACCATTTCTGCTGACGTTACTATTTTCTTCCGTCCACTTCCTTGACGTTGGGCTACGCTACCAGCATCACGGTGACGAGCGATGGTGCGAGACACAAAAGATTAATTCACATTTAAATGCTGGAGTGCTCTACCGATAGCCACTTGTGGTTTCCAGCCAAATACAAAGAAACCCCACTATCACGCTTGAGTTGCATCCCGAATAACTTTTTTCTTGGAAAATTCTCAGCAAAATGCTCCTGTACGCTTGTAAACAATATAATGAGCTGTCACTGGAATAATTTTAACGGCTGTCGGACGAGTGGCTTAAAAATGACAGCAGTCTGAAGTTGGTTGCAGTTTTTTCATCTCACCCTGTATATTTACAAATAACCCTGAGCCGGACCAATCCAAAACCACGACTCGAGTTGCCTTAAAATCCACTTCAAAAAACTGAATCATGGTTCAAATAGTGGTGTGATCCGCTGAACTGAACCAACCTTATTCAACAACTAGTTTTCAACCCATTCGCAACATTTCACATCTCCCTCCCAATTTACCCTATTCGAATCACTCGCAGTATATTGCAGTGCAAATCTTCTCCTTATTGATATGGTTAGCGTGTCCGTGTGCAGTTGTTATTATTTTAAATTGTAATGACCGCACATGTATTATGTGACAAGAATAACAACAATAACAACAGCAAAAACGGTGTGTGGTAGCTGGACATACTCCTCGCCCCCTACCCATGTCTAGCGAAACATCTACATGCATATATGAGGATATTTATATACATGGATCATGTATAAATTATTATGTCCCACAAGGCAACTAATAAAACAAGACCTCTGATGCATTGGAGGGGTGATGCATTATCGGGGTTCGTGCAATTTTCTAAGGGCTGGAATTTACGGGAATTTTTGAAAAAGGATGGAAAGTTCATTTCCAGGGGATGTTATCCTGGGATTTTAGAAACTTTCTGTACTTAAGTCTTGTGTAGTTAAACCTCTCGATTTTTTTTTATTTTGTTTTTTTTTTTTTTTTTTAATTTTTTAACAGAGTTATGTTTTTGTTCCCAGATTCTGGGAAAGTATTTTTTTCTTGGGGGACAGACTCAGATACACGGATATTTGACCCAACTGATATTTGAACGTTTCAAAACCTCATATCTCTGGATCCAGGAAAGGTAATAGCATTTAGTAAAGGCTAGAGAGCAAGTTATAATATGTTACATATTATGCCCATTATGTGGCCTTTTTCGACTTTTTGGAGGTTTTATAAAAAACTGGTGATCGATGATTTAGATATATCGTTTTAAATGACCCCATAATGTGACCAATTGTCGGATAGGTATTTTATTTAAGATATCAAATGATAGCTGGTCTAACCAGGGGCTTGGACCCGTACTTTTGGGTTAAATATCCGGGTCCGTCCCCTAAGAAAATATACCTTTCCCAGAATCATGGTACACATACCTACTCCTAGAAAAACTTTAAAAAAATAGTAGAGTTTTTACTGAACTAAAGTTGTTTCTTTGTCCGTCGACTTAAATTCGTGCATCTAATAACAACTTTTGAAAGATTATAGAGGATTTTTTGAGTGTTTTTTTAGGGAAAGTCGGAGAAAATTGTTAAAGGTCTATCCACCTATCAATTTAGGCTTCATAATCCTGAATTTTTGAAAATTTCTTTGACTTGATTTTTTTTGGGGTGTACGGGAGCTTAAAAAAGTTTCAAAAGGTATTGAAAGGGCTATATTTTCTAAGACTTTTCACGTTCATCCATAATTTTTTAAGGATTACCGTTCATATTTTTGAGATTATTTATTATGGGCATATTTAAAGGTCTATCGGAAAAATTAAAAAGGTTTCGATTCCATAATCCTGGATTTGTGAAAAAAAATGTTACCAAGGCTCGCCGTTTTTGAACAATTTTCGAAGAACCATCCCTAATTTATTTGGAAAATTTCATAAACCAACAGAGTGGATTTTTATACCTTCAGCCATATGGCTACAGAGGGTACATATCATTTAATACGGCAAAAAGTACCTAATCGAAATAACGGTTTTAGACCTTAGGTCTTTTTGAACCAAATCCGTTCCAGGACATTTGGAGTCATTTTTGTTGTCAAAGTTAGATCGAGATGGGCAATATCGGTCCACTCCATCAAGTACCTCCCCCACAAAAATTCGAAATTTTCAAAAAAAAGTACAATCCAATTTTATTCTAACTTTGTAAATCCTAATATTTGCACCAGTGCTATGTTTGGTGGAATACATCGGGCCATTCCTTTGGTATCTCCACAACAAAGGGTTAACATTTTGAATAATTATAACTCTTATAACATGTGAAATAAGAGTCCGATTGACCTCTAACTTACACACATGAAAATATTTCTACTAACGCAAGATCAGCAGTAAAAATGGGATATGTCGGTAAACTCCTTCTAATACCTTCCCCACAAAGAGTCAAAATTTTGAATATCCATGAAGTACATCCGATTTCATTCCGACTCGGTACGTATTAATATTTCCATCTACACAAGATCTGATGGTAGAGATCGAACCGAAGATGGGATATATCGGTCTACCCCCTCTGGTACCTCACACATTTTGAATAGCGATGAAGTAAATCGTGAAATGAGCATCCGATTCCTTTCAAACTCGGTACATTTAATGTTTTCATCGACACATGGTACCAGGTATAAAAATGGAAAATGTGGGAATACTTCTTCTTCTGGTCCCTCCCCCATAGCGGGTCAAATTTTTGAAAAATTATACCTCCCAAAAAAAAAAAAAAAAAAAAATGAAATAAGCATTAAATTCTATTCACATTTCACATATCCCAACATTTTTGATAACCCAAGATCTAATGTGGAGATGCGATATATCGAATCTATCCTTCTGATACCTCCTCGATTTCATTCCGATCCGGTACGTATTAATATTTCCATCTACACAAGATCTGATGGTAGAGATCGAACCGAAGATGGGATATATCGGTCTACCCCTTCTGGTACCTCCCACATAGCGGGTCAAAATTTTGATTAGCGATGAATTAAATCGTGAAATGAGCATCCGATTCCTTTCAAACTCGGCAGATTTAACATTTCCATCAACACATGACCAGGTATGTAAATGGAATATGTCGGAATACTTCTTCTTCTGGTCCCTACACCATAGCGGGTCAAAATTTTGAAAAATTATGTATCCAAAAAAAAAAAAAAAAAAAATTTAAATAAGCATTAAATTCTTTTCATATTTCACATATCCTAACATTTTTGATAACCCAAGATCTGGTGTGGAGATGCGATATATCGAATCTATCCTTCTGATACCTCCCCATTTGTTTAACTTGCTTTTAGAATATTACAGCCATTTCATGTGCTAAAATCGGGCTTTTTTGCAAAATTTCAAGACTTTGAGATTTTAGCCTTTTTTAAGATTTTTCAAAGCCTATTTTCAATAGCTTTAATCTTGAATTTGGTATATTTGTAAAAAAATTGGTACTGCATTCGTATATTTTATTTTTTTTTAAATTTGTCCACCCTAATACCTCCCCCCTCTGCAATCAACAATTGTGACTGGTTTTTTATGCGCTCTCTCTCTCCCTCGCAGCTATACAAATAGCAAATAAAAATGTGAAAATTGCAAGAAAAATGAGGAAATGTCCAAATGCAAACATAATAGTTCTTTAAATAAACTCAAAGTCGTCAAAGGAGGAGGGGAGGGAAGTACAAAGTTCAGCAATTCAGTTGGAGAGCTGCTTTTTTTCTTTCCTTTTCCTCAACTCATCATTCAAACAGTTGACTATGGTTATCTGTACCCCTTAACCCTTGCTTAATATTTTATTTAATATATAAATATATCCTTTTTTTTCGTCTAACTCATTCAATTTTTTTTTATTCTTTTTCTTTCTTTTTCGCCTCTTTGGTGTCCCGTTATATAGGAAAACAACATACTTGAACTGTGCATAGCCAAGTACTGGTCAAACTTTGGTAGCAGTCATATCAAATATAGTTTGGAGTTCCATGGTATCCAGTCGAATAGTCCATGTAAGTTGTACTTCTATTTTTTTCTCTATTTTTTTTCTACTTCTCCGTTTATTTGATTTTCGTAGTTTTATTTAAGAGTGTATTTTCTTTACTCCTCTTTACTTCGTATAATATTTTGAAACTAGAACTAAGAACGCACACAAGTGCCTATACATACAAACATACATATCCGTATATCTCCCATAAGCATACTTAAAAAAAGAGACTACATACAAACAAAGAATCTGACAATGGCCAAAAATACCATTGTATTCCTATAACAAGGTTTGTTTTTTTCTTTCGGAAAGTTTCTTGTTTTTTTGCAGTTCTCATCTTGTGTCCAAAAAAAAAAGAAAAGAAATAGTCCAAAAACATAATTCTGGTTATTGAGCTGCCATATTTGAGTAGCTGCTGGTGCCAAAGGCAGCGCCAACATCAACAGTTTTTTTTTTTCAAAAAAAAAAAAACAAAAAAAAAAAAAAAACAATAAAAAATAAAAACAAACCAAAAAAAGAAAAAAACTAATGGGAAACTTGTACTTAACCGAAAAAAGTTTTCGCATTTATACCCTACTTCATAAGCCGGGGAAGACATAATGGGTTTGTTTCCTACAAAAGAGATGCTTTGCTGGATTTTTATACCCTACACCACAAGGTGGTCAGGGTATTACGTCTTTGTGCATTTGTTTGTAATAGGCTAAAGGAAATGAGATAGACCCATAGTTCCTTTTGATGATCTGCATAGAATCATATTCTGAGTCGATTTATGTATGTCCGTCCGTCTGTCCATGTATTCTTGTAAACAATGTACAGTTCGCATTTATTGAAACCTATTGAAATTGGCGATAATCGGTCAAAATTTAGATATAGCTCCCATATATATCTTCGTCCGATTTGCCTTTTATTGTTCACCAAACGTGTAATATCAGCCCGAATTGTATGGAATTTTGCACATACAACCAAATCAGGCCGAAAAGTAAGTATGCCAAATTTGAAATTCGAAATCGATTCAGATATAGCTATAGCTCCCATATATATTGTTTATCCGATTTGTTATTTTTATCCTCCGCAGCCGTAATATGCACTCTGTAACAACAATATTTGGGGAAATATATCAAATACAGCTCAGAAATACATTTGCTAAATTTTATCGAGATCGGTTCAGATTTGTATATAGCTCCCATACATAACTTCGTCCGATTTACCTTTGATTGTGCACCAAACGTCTAATATTTGCCAAATTGGATGAAATTCGGCACTTTCGACCGAATTGAGTCTAGAAGCTAGTATATCAAATTTGGATCTGAAGATCGGTTCTGATATAGCTATAGCTCCCGATTTGTTACCCACAGCCGCAATATGCACTCCGTAACAATGATATTCAGGGAGAAATATCAAATACAGGTCAGAAATATCTTTGCCAAATTTTATCGAGATCGGTTCCGATTTGGATATAGCTCCCATACATATTTTTATCCGATTTCAAATTTATTGTGCACCAAATGTGCAATACAAGTCCGAATTTAGAAGATACATATGCTTCGGCATATTTAGTCCTTTGAATTTTAAGTTATAATTATAATCATAGCGTGTATGATTGAATTCTCCCATAAAAACTTTTAATTGTTATGCGCAGTTCTACTAAATTAGCAAAGTGGTGTAGGGTATCATAAAGTCGGCCCGTCCGACTTTAAGACTTTCTTTACTGGTTTATGACCTTATTTTGAAAATTCGACGAGTGAATATTTGAAGAATTTTGAAGGATCATTAAAATTAAAAATATTCGATTTTTAAAGGAAGGACAACCAGAAGGACTAAAATCGTTGAGTTCAGAGTAATTTTTTTGAATTTTTTTAGCACCATAGATTTTTGGAACATTTTGGAGCCTTGGGGTTGATTTGTTGTTTTTAAGACATTCGATTGTAGAATCCTGGATTATTTCAGAAAAAATTCTTGAGGATTTTAAAAATATAAGTTTCTATGAAAGCAATTCTAATCGGAAATACCATCAAAGTTTAGAATAATTTTAAATTTGTTCGAATTGGTCACCTTTGGCACGAATAATGACCTTCAAACGACACGAAAAGGTTAGGTTTTTCAAAAAAAATATTCCCTGTATCCCTGGAGTTATAAACGTGGATTTTTATGGAACTTGTTTTCAGGAATCTCTATAATCGTTGTCTATGTACCAAATTTAAGAACGTTTGGAGCATTTTCGCGGATTTTCAGATTTTGATTGTTTTGGACACAGGAAACTACAATCTCGATATTTTATAAAAAAAAAAAAAAAATATTCAAGGACCCCTGTAGCTAAAGTATTCTCTTCAAGGATACCTGGATTTATAAACGTGTTTTTTATATGGAACTTATTTTGAAGGTTCTCTCTGTATTTACATTCTTCGTTTGTCTACGAGGTTTAAGGATCTCTGGAGCATTTTTCGTGGATTTTTGGGTTTTAATTATTTTTTTTATAAAATTTTTATTATTTTAATTTTTTTTATTATTACAGTACTCTTTTCAAGGATGCCTGGAATAATAAACATGGATTTTACTAAAACCTATTTTCAAGGATCTCTATAATCGTCGTCTGCGTGCAAGCAGCTTTTTAGTTTTTGAATGTTTTGAGCACCTGTGGAACTACAATCTCGATTTTATATAAGAAATGTTTATTCAAGGACCCCTGTAGCTAAAGTATTTATTTCAAGGATACCTGGTATTATAAACGTGGATTTTTGTGGAATTTATTTTCAAGGATCTCTCTGTATCTTTAAACGTTGTCTGTATGCGAATTTTAGGTTTTTAATGTTTTGCACACCCGTGGAACTACAATCTCGATTTTTGGTAAGGAATTTTTATACCAGGACCCATGTATTGAAAATATTTTGCTTTTGAAAGGATTCCATTGGATCTTGGTCTCTGATTGTTGGCTTCATGGAATTTTTTCACAATGACTTTTTGGGATACCATTATGAATTTTTGAAGATTATTGTTATGGACCGAGGATCTTACGTAGATTTTTCAAAGCATTTTTTTTTTCATAGTAGCTATTTTTTGTTGGTTATATGACAAGCTGTTATCATTGATATTCAAAAGACTATTGTCAAAGACCCGTGCAAATATATTTAAAGACGCAGGAGTTACAATCGGAAATTTGACAAAGCATTCCAGGTGCTATCACAAATTCCAGGAACCGAGGATCTTCTAATCGTATTTTCAAGGACCCGTGAATTTTTCAAAGTATTTTTTTTTTCAATGGAGTTATATTTTTGGAGGCATGAGCAAGCTTTTATCATGGATTTTTAAATAATATTGTCAAGGACCCATGCAGCTATATTAAACAACGCAGCAGTTATGATCGGAAATTTGTCAAAGGATTCCAGGAGCTGTCACGAATACCAGGAACTATAACAATCGATATTGCAACGAATTTTCTCCCTTAACCTCCGCAGTTATAATCAGATATTTTTGGAAAGATATTCTCATGAACAAAAGGAACAGTAATCGAATTTTTTTTTTAATTTTTCTTTCGATTTTTATATTCAGGACTAGAGCCAAGAATCCCACGAGTCTTAAATTTTGCAATTTTTGATATGTTTTTTTTTCCAAGGACCCCAACTGCCATGATCTTGGATTTTATAAAATTTTGTTTCCAGGATCGCAGGTGCCATAATCGCAGGTTTTATGAAGTATTTCTTCAAAGACTTCCAGAAGCTATAAACGTGGACTACATAAAGAATTTTCCAAGGGTCACAGGAGCCTTAATCGTGGATTATTTAAAGAAGCGATAATCCTGGATTTTATAAAGAACTTGGATCCTGAAGCCACATTTGTGGATTTTATAAAGAATTTCTTTCAAGTGTTCCAGCATCCCAGGAACGTAAATCGTAGATTTTTTTGTAGAGGACTGTAGGAGTCATACCCTTGGATTTAATATTTTTTTTCTAAGGCCCCAGGAGCCATAATCGTGGATACGTAAAACATCTTTCTAGGAACTCAAGAGGCCAGGCAGAAAGATTTTTTAAGAACCCCAGCAGGAGCTCCAATGAATATAAGGATTTTATTCAAGGATCTCAAGGACCATAACCGTGGATTTTACTAAGATTTTTTCCAGGATCCCAGGAGCCATAAATACGAAATATATAAGGATTTTATAAAAGGATCCCAGGTGCTATAAATAAGGAGTTTATTCAAAGATAATCGCGGTTTTTATTAATTTAAGGACCAAAGGAGCCATAATCTTGAATTTTTAAATATTAAATATAAAAAAATTGTAGGACCCCCAGAAGCCATAATTTTTTCTAGGACTCCAGGAGCCATAAACGAGGATTATGAATGATTGATTCAAGGACGCTAAGAGCCATAGTTGTGAATATATAAAAAAAAATAAAGCATCCCAGGAGCCACAAGGTCAACCTTAATAAAGAGTTTCTTAAGGTCTCCAGGAACCGAAACCGTAATTTTAAAAATAGTTTATTATGGGATCCTACCAGGAACTGTAATCGTGGATTTTATAAAGAATTTTTTAATGTCTCTGAAGATATAATCGTCGCTTTTTTGAAGATCCACGACCCATAACGACCACAGAAGCCATCATTTGTTCTCAAACTCCAGGAATCATTGGTTCAAGGACCCTGGAAGTCATAGTCGTGAATTTTATATGGAGTTTTTTGTTTTAAAAGACCCTAGAGCCTTTCTCTCTGGTTTTTTTGAAGACCGCAGGACCCATATTGCGGTTTTATATATATTTTTCAAAAATCCAGTAGCCATAATCGTGGATATTATAAAGATTTTCTTCAAGGACCCCAGGAATTTAGTAAAGAACTTCGTCAAGAATCATCCAAGGGACTCAGGAGACATAAATCGGATCCCAGAAGTCATAAACGTGGATTTATGAAGAATTTTCTTCAATACTACCAGGAGTCACAATCTTGAATTTTATATCCCATGTAGCATAAACATGGATTGCATAAAGAATTTTTTCAATGGCCCCAAGAGTCATAATCGTGCTGCTGTGCTGTGATA